GTAATTTATAAGTAGGTAAACCTTTTTCTAGGACTTAAATATTGTTTAAGAGCTAAAGCTTTAGCTTCATCAACATTTATTATGTTAGTATTTGACTTATAATGGCTGACTCTTTTCCCTTTTTTTTTAAATGTATTATTTATTTTTTAGTTGGAGTATAATTGCTTTATAATGTTGTGTTACTTTCTGCTATACAACAAAGTGAATCCGCTATGTGTATACATATGCTGCCTCCCTCTTGAGGCTCCCCCCCACCCCTGCATCCTGCACCTCTAGGCCATCATGGAGCACCAAGCTAAGCTCCCTTGTGCTATACTGCTTTTTCCCACCAGCCATCTATTTTACATGTGGTAATATACGTATGTCAGTGCTACTCTCTCCATTTTCCCTTCATTTCTAAATTAACTAAACTGTATGAAATTAAAGAGGTCGGATTTCTCAGAGCCTCGATCTCCTCCGGTGTAAGATAAGGGAATTGAATTGGTCCATTTCTGAGGTCCCGTTCAGCTAGAATCTTATCTATACTGTTTCCTATTATTCTAATTTACATTCAGAATTACATTTTTAAAACCAGCAGAAGTTCTGGTTTCTCCCTAGAGCTGCAAAAGCCAGACTTTGTTTTTTATTTGGATTTTGCTCTGTTCTATGTGCCTAAAGCAGCCTAACAGAGTTTATCATTGGGGACTAGAAAAACAATGCATAATTCAATTTTACCCATATCCACTCATAAACAAAAGGCACAAACTTTATAACTAAACTGATAAATAACAGCTCTCTTGGACTGTTTTCCTAGCAAATAAGGACATACATATCACTTATGGTAGGTAATAAGAGATGCTATATTTGCATAAATCCTAAGGGTAGGAGTTATCATCCAAAATGTTTAATTGCTTTTCTGTCTTCCATAAGGTCATATTTCACTGGGAATACTAAGTTTCAAATGAATGTTCAGTATTTCACACTTCCTGAAAATCATTTAAATGAAATGCTAAAGGAGGCAAACTTTTTAAATGTAGTTTTTGTTTGTTTATTTTTCATTGAGCAAGGGACTTGAGTGGAGAAAAATACCATTGTGGGCACTTGCTACTTAAAATCTCAAGCTATTAGTCTAAAACTAGTAAGTAGACATCAGAATTCATCAATCACTAGATTCATCTTTTGTTGTTCCTCATTGTGCATTATTCTCAACTTTATTTGCAACATGTCTAACTTGACCTGATGATAGGATGCATGTAAATTGACCTGAGCGCTGGCCCCTGTGAAGACACTGGTCCTCTGTAGCACCTTCTTCTTTCTTATTGGCAGCCATGGGCTGTTGTAATATGATTTATAATAAGATACGTATGTTTGGTCTTCATTCACTTTTCTTGGCACAGAGGTCCTAAAACCTTTGTAATTTCCTGGGATAGCACCACAAAGGTGTCTTCTGTTAATGAACTGATCCTTGGAACCCAGCTAAAGATGGGAGCTGATTGCCAGGAGAGCCAACCATTTGCTTAGTGGGTTGGAACTTTCAATTCCACTCTCCTCATCTCCAGAAGTAGTGGAGGGACTGGAGGCTGAATCAATTGGCAATGGCCAGTGATTTAATCGATGATGCCTATGTAATGAAACCTCCATAAAACCCCAAATGAATAGGTTTGAGAGAGTTTCCAGGTCAGTGAAACAGAATGCTATCATATGCCACCGTGCCAAGTTCCAGACACCACCAGGATAGACACTCCTTTGCTTGGAACTTCACCTTCTGTATCTCTTCGTCGGACTGTTGATTTGTGTCCTTTAACACCCTTTGCAACAGTCCAATAATAAGGTAATGACCTAGTGAGTAAACTGCTTTCCTGAGTTCTGTGAGCTGCTCTAGCAAATTAATCAAACCCAAGGAGGGGGTCCTGAGAACCTCCTCCAGTCGGTCAGAAGTACAGGTAACAATCTGGACTTGGCATTGGCCCCTGAAGCGGAGGAGAGCTGGTGGGACTGAGCTCTTAACCTGTGGAATCTGACACTATCTCTGGGTAGATAGTGCCAGACTTGATTTGAATTTTAGGACACACAGTTGGGGTTGGAAAATTCCTTGAATATGTGGGGTTAAAGCTCCGCATGTTGGAAATGGTGACCAGGATCTTTGCCATTAACCTCTTTCTAAGAAAGTTCCTGTGTTCACTTAGAATTCACACTTTAAACAACCAAATTGTGACAATTCTGTCTCTCTCCAGCAAGACCCAATACCAACTGTCTTGTTCCCTCACAGCAGTGTCTCCTTATAGGTTATTTAGTTTATATTTCTGTGATATGTCAATGAATATTGAAAGCAAAAGGAGAAGGGGGTGGCAGAGGATGAGATAGTTAGGTAGCATCACCAACTTGATGGACATGAATTTGGACATACTCCAGGAGATAGCAAAGGGCAGAGTCCAGCATGCTGCAGTCCACGGGGTCGCAAAGAGTGGGACACAACTTAGTGACTGAACAGCAACAATATTTAAATATCTTTAATATTCACTGCATGTGATCTTTCTAGCTGGTTCCCATTATTCACTCAACAGATAGTTCAGTTCAGTTCAGTTGCTCAGTTGTGTCCGACAGAGAGTTATTGAATACTTACTTCATGTCAGGGACTATGCTAAGCTCTCGGATACAATGACAGGCAAACTTAATGGAACCCTATTCTCACAGTTCTTACATTTTAGCAGGAGAGACAGAGATATTAATCCTGGGATTATACAGTCACATTTAAAATTACAATATCATGCTAAGAACAATGTGTTAAACCACAATGATTAAATAAACAGGTTTTTTAGAATGCATAAATTCATATCAGTAATAGAATGCTTTTATAAACATCAAGTCTTATGTGGATTTGAGTATCCATGTGACTTCGCTGAGAGTTCTTTCTCTAAATTATTTAATTGCAAAGGGAATTTGGCACAACAGGGAAAATTCAATAGCTTTAGAAGCAGCACAGGAAAATAATGATTAGTAAGTGACATTTGCCCAAGATTTCAGATCTGTTATGTACTGATACGTGGCACATTTTAATTAATGTCCTGAAATTGAAAGTTCTAATCAGGTATGATAGGGTAGGAAAGGTTAAATGCTGCCATTTTCTTATACATACAAGAGCAATTATAGAGATGTCTCATTTTCCTACCCACCAGCTCACTTTATGCAAAGTTTTTATATCTGTCACCAAACAAGCCTTTGTCTGAATCCATCTGCTTGGCTCCAGACCGTACGGTAAAGCATTTTCATTGGGACTCCTCTTTCTCTCTGTAGGTCACAAGATAAAAAGGCAAAGGAGTGGTTACTTGGACAGTGTCAAACCTATGCATGTAAGGAGAAGAGTATTTGTGTTAAAGCCTACACTAAAATATTAGGACTTTTCATATTAAAAAAAATTCGGTAGTGGGTGAAATCTTTATTTTTACTCTGAGTTTATTCTTATTCTAAGACTTCTAAAGATTTAAAGCCAAATTCTTTTCTGGCCACAAATACCCAACCTCCAACCTTAAGCAATACCTACCACCTCTTTACCCTGTGGAGAGGATATGAGGAAAAGGAGGAAGTCCAGAACATTTTACTAAAGTTTCTCAAGAAACTTTACTCCAAATATGCAGATCCTATTAGATACATAGGTACATAGATACATAGGTAAGTGTGAAGATCATCATCACATTTCCTTTCTGTAAACCCTACCCTCTTTCATAGCTGTCTCAAATTCTACTTTCTATAAGAAACATTTTCTCACCACTCCAACAAGGACCTGTCTTCTGAACTGCTGGATCATTCACTGTTTATACCTCTTTTATGGATACACGGAATAATGAGCTGCCTATGCCTTCTTTTTAGAAACAGAACTAGAAGTCATCAAAAGTAAAAACAAAAACAAAAAACACCAGTGACCTAGAGTCCAGCTAGACTATAAGCCCATTGAAGTTCAGAGTCATATCTTTGAAATTTCTCTAGCCCCAGCTGACAGAACATGGCCTGGACATAGGAAGTGTTGAGAAATATGTTTGCATTTATTAATTGGGAGAGAGAGAGGGTAGATGGGAGAAGAGGAAGAAAAAGAAGAAAATTTGAAGAGAGAAGGAAAGAAACAAGAGCAAGGAAGAGACTGATATGTGGACAGACATACATATAATCTTCCCACCTAGAGCCCAGCTTACACCTCCACCACTGACTGCTTCTTTCCTGAGCCATAGTGTATCAGCTATTCTCATTTAGCATCATTTCTTCCACCTATAAATGGGGATTATGATATTACCTACATCAGAGTCTCCTATAAGGATAAAATAAGTCATGAAATCATGATGCTCAGTACTTTCAATGAATGTTAGGGATTTTAAAAAATTATTTGAATCTGATTCTTTGTAAAAGAATGGTATTATTAGTCATATGAGCTAAACATGTCTAGGATTGGGGAAAAAGATTCACAAAAAAGTATAGGACCAGAGGGAAGTTGATGAATGATAGAGAAGACAAAGGTAGAGCATTAAACCATTAAGAAGAGAGAAAGTGAACTTAAGCCTATGGAGCAAAACATTGCCAACTTACAGTAGTTGGTTTATTATTGTTACTATTTATTTATAGGTAAGCAGGAGTCAGAGCTGGAGTGAGGAAGATTGCATGGGGAGACAATTTTAGGGCTACTCAATTATGCCCTGTCATTCTGGAAATATGGAAGACCAGTGGATGGAATAGCTGTCAGCAGTACAGAAACACATAGTCGTTAGACGTGTCTCCACATGGATTTGGATGAGCCCCTCCAGGCACCACGGCTGACAAGTAGGACAGGAAGAATGGAAGAGAATTTGTATCTAGCGCTGGGCGTTAGGATCTCAACAGTCAACACATGACACAAATATCAAAACTGGTCTTATTTATTTTTCAGGGGCAAAATTATGATGCTGGTATGTGTAGATACTCCACTCTTACGGAGGTGGAGCATAATCCCCTACTCTTAAATGTGGGCTGTCCATCAAGACTGACTTCCAAAGAATATAACAAGGAAAGGAGGAAAAATGAATATCTTTATGCTGGAGAAACCTGACCTATGCTATCTCAGCCAGGTGATCAAAATTAACACTTTCCATCATAAGGCGATTTGTTATTGGTAATTTGTATCTTTGGCAAGATATGATGAGATTGTCACTGTGGTCTCCATCCCCCAAATCCATAATCCCAATCTAATCATGAGGAAAACATCAGACAAATCCCATTTGAGGGACATTCTTCATATAATTAGCCAGTATTCAAAACAGTCAAGGTCACCAAAAACAAAAAAGTTTGAGGAACTATCACAGCCAATAACAGCCTAAGGTGATGTGATAATTAAAGGCATCGTATCCAAGATGGGACTATAGATCAGAAAAAAGACATCAGGCAAAATCTAAGTAAACATAGATAAACTATATGCTTTAGCTCATTGATAATGTGTCAGTATGGGTTCATTAGCTGTGACAATTGTACTGCATTAATGCAACATATACTCTGGGAGTTGGTGATGGACAGGGAGGCCTGGCGTGCTGCGATTCATGGGGTCACAAAGAGTCGGACATGGCTGAACAACTGAACTGAACTGAAATGAATGCAACATATAGCAATAGGGGAAACTGGTGGTGGGGTGTGTAGAAGCTCTCTGTACCATCTTTGCAACATTTTATGAATATCAAACTGTTCTGAAACTAAAAACTTCATTGAAAAAATGAAAGTCATGGGATGGTAGACCATTTAAGTGCAGGTGTTCCTACTTAACTTCAGTTTTACTCCAGTGCTGTTACACCAGTGGTTTCAAACTTGAGTGTGTATCATAATCACCTGGGCAGCTTATAAAGAGATTGAGAGCCCCTCCTTACCTCGGTAAGACTGGGGTAGGGCTTGAGGATTGTCATCTCTAACAAGTTCCCAGGTGATGTTTATAGTGCTGGTCCACGGACCAAAACCACTGCTATATAAAATCAGTCCCAGAATTCAAAGCAAGTTTTCGTTCGTGGCTCTTTGTCGGCGAGCAAGGTAAGATGGCTTTATTTTAACGTATTTCCTCCTCTAGTACTCAAAGTGTTGATGCTGTAATAACTGGTGTATAATAATTTTAGCATAATTCCAGTTGATATTGTGTTCTTATCCTGTATACATTTTTGGTAATCAGTAAATGCTGTTCTTAGTTTTTGAAAGTTATTTACAACAAGGAGGTGGAAAGTTCCAAATGAAGTGCAGCTGTATCTGCAAGTCTTCAAAAATGCAATAAAAAAATCATAAGGGGTATTTGGAATTTGTTGCCTGAAAAGTACATGTTCTTGAACTAAGAAAGAAAAAGAGGGGAGTGTTCTATGTTTGGATGTTTTTGCTTGCAGTTTTTGTCGGGATGAATTCAGAAAGAGGAGTGTAGGGGAGCTTATCAGTTTGACAAATATTGGAGGATTCACAGCAAAGAACTGGATTTGTCTTGTTCACGATTTTGCTTGTGTGTGTGGCAGGGGTGGGTGCATGGGAGGGAGGAGGTGGTCAGGATGCTGCTGCTGCTGCTAAATCACGTCAGTCGTGTCCGACTCTGTGCGACCCCATAGACGGCAGCCCAACAGGCTCCTCCATCCCTGGGATTCTCCAGGCAAGAACACTGGAGTGGGTTGCCATTTCCTTCTCCAATGCATGAAAGTGGAAAGTGAAGTCGCTCAGTCATGTCCAACTCTTAGCTACCCCATGGACTGTAGCCTACCAGGCTCCTCCATCCATGGGATTCTCCAGGCAAGAGTACTGGAGTGGGTTGCCATTTCCTTCTCTGGTGGTCAGGATGAGTACTTTCTTAAGAGAACCCACATGAAGCTATCCATACCCTACTTTGAAGCATCTTCCAGAACTATTTACTCTAAGATTTAGGAAGGAATGACAATATCCATGTCACTTCTTTAAGCGGATTATGCAATTGTGGAGAGAGTCTAAAAAAGGAATTTCAGGTTAAATAAAAACAAAAAATACCTGGGCTTATGACATTTCCAAACAAACTGGATTTAGTAAGGATAGATCATTGAAAACCTTTGACAGGTGTGAGTTCTTATGTATTTCAAAACCTAAAATGTTTTGAAATTTAGTGACTTTAGTAATTATAGGGGAGAACCTAGTATGTCACTGTTTATTATTACACTGATCTGGCTCCTTTGTGAAAAAAGTTAAAGCTCACACGGCAGGTGCTAGTCTTTGCCCTCAGAATGCAGGGTGGTAAAGAGCCCCCACCCTATGTTTGATCTCACAGTTTGCTGCCAGTTTCTACAGTAGTGACTGACTTCAAACTGCTCACTTCAGATGGCAGCCTGCCATCCCTGCTTAGGCCATGTGAAAACTCTGACCTGGGCTTCTTGGCCGGCAGGACTTGTGTTTCCTCCACCAGAACTGCAGCAAATCCTCCCAAGAGCAGTAGCTCGGGTGTGAGAAGGGAGCCGCCGCGCTGCGGGGGTGGAACCTCTCAGCTCATTCACCTGCACTGGAGGGAGCCGCTGGGAAGGAATGCAATAGCAGGAGGAGAAAATAGCAACTGTCAGCAGAGGGACTGACAGCTAGGGCTGTCAAAAGTCCTCCCCCAGCCCTTCATACCAAGCTTGCCTAATAAAAATAATACAGAAAGCAATGGAGAAATAATGCCCCACCTTTTAGGAGAGCTGATCCTTCACACTGAATAGCATTCCTCGTCTTTTCCCTGAGTTTCCAGGATTCGACTCTCCTTTTTCATACTCCTCTTGGCCCTCTCTGCTCTATGTGGCTTCTTCTCCTCTTTTGGTGCCAAAGCTTTCGGTTCAGTCGCTCAGTCATATCCGACTCTTTGTGACCCCATGGACTGCAGCACGCCAGGACTCCCTGTCCATCACCAGCTCTCAGAACTTGCTCAAACCCATGTCCATTGAGTCAGTGATGCCATCCAACCATCTCAACCTCTGTCGTCCTCTTCTCCTCATGCCTTCAATCTTTCCCAGCATCAGGTCTTTCCAATGAGTCAGTTCTTCATATCAGGTGGCCAAAGTATTGGAGCTTCAACTTCAACATGAGTCCTTCCAATGAATATTCAGGACTGATTTCCTTTAGGATGTACTGGTTGGATCTCCTTGCAGTTCAAGGGACTCTCAAGAGCCTTCTCCAAAACCACAGTTCAAAAGCATCAATTCTTTGGTGCTCAGCTTTCTTTATGGTCCAACTCTCACGTCCATGCATGACTACTGGAAAAACCATAGTTTTGACTAGATGGAATTTTGCTGGTAAAGTAATATCTCTACTTTTTAATATGCTGTCTTTATGCTGTTTTTTAATATGCTATATCTCTAGGCCAGGAGAATAACAGGATTATATGATGGTAAGCATTTAGCAACTTACTTTCTTCTCTTACACATGGTTGCTATAGTTAGTGATCCAGGTGCAGTTCTTATTTTGTGTGGTTTTGGTTCCTTCAATTTTCTCTGGTCCTTTTGAATGCAGTATACATCTGTGCATGCCCACCCTCCTTATTTGGACTTTCTGGCTCCCCCTGCTTTTCTCTATGACACTAGGCACTGTAAAGGTATATCACTATATTCCTGTCCAGAGCCTTTGGCTAAGCCCTTTGCTCACCTTCTCCACCAACTTAAAAAAAAAAAAAAAAAAAAGCTTCTTGTACTGCTATTCCTATTTTTTGTTTCAGCATTGGAGTTACTGCCTTTACAAGGTATAGTATAGTCAGATTTCCTACTTTTTAACCAATTAAAGCCAGCTTCTGCTTACTAGTGAACAGCGTGTTTATACTCCAGTGTTTCAGTTGTGCTAGCTTCCTTGGGTGTAGGACTATGGTACAAGCAGAAGCCATCTCTCAGGAACCAGAGGTGAAAACCTGAGATCTGCAGAAATTTCTCTGCAGATTTATGAGTGACTCAGAACTGAAGCATCCTGATATTAGAGGACAAATTTGTACTTGGAACCTGAAAGAGGCTTCTATTGGGTTCTTCCATATATTAGGCATGTAACATTAGTGTCCTAACCTTTTAGAAACTTTTTTTCCATATGGAAATAGTACTTGTCCTGCTGTCCTTTCAAGGTTGCCATGCAGATGAAAGGAGATGTTGTGAATGAAAACAACGTGCGAATTTCAGACGTTCCTATGAGTGTAAACTGTACAGATGCAAACTTTATTCTCTTTTAAACAAGAGCTTGCTAGCACACACTTGGTGGTGTTATAAGTGTTGTTAACATACCTTTATGGAGCCTGCTTCCTCCACTCGGATGCCAGGCCCCTGGCTGCCTCTCTGTGGGTGCACTCACACTGTGGTTTCTCCCTTCCCGGGAGGAAAGCTGAGGTCACTGAGTAGACTCCTCAGGGCCCAGTAGCCCATGTCTAGATCAGAGCCTGGCCTCTGGGGCCAGACACACCCGGGCCTAAATCCTAGCCTCTGGTGGTGTGTGGTCTTGGGCAAGCACCCCAGCTTCTCCAAAGTTGAGCTCCCTTATCTCTAAAACTCAGGCAATTGTTCAAGTGTCTTAAGAGACACTATGTCCAACTCCTAATCAGTGTTCCATAGCTAACATTGAACAGGGCACAACCATGTTGCCATGTTTTATACATGAAAACAAAAAGCAGTCAATAGTGAGAAGTGAAGCCTGGAATAATGCCCAGAAGGTCCTCGAACAAGGTCCTTGTTCAATCAGAAACTGTATCTCAAGCTCCACTGCTTAAGCTTTGGAGCTCTTTCTCTCCTGGGCTGACTGCTTGTGCAGATCCCCTGCTCCCCATTAAGATGGGCATTCCCAGGCCTTAAACTCGAGTTTCCTCCTTGATGACAGGGGAAAAGATGCAGGACTTGGTGACATTGACCAGTCCTAGGATCCTGAGCTGGGGTTTTCAACCTCTTTGGAAAGGCAACTCTGAAAACGTAGCAGTGCCTCCCACCGCGGTTAGCAGAGTGGGCTGGAATCCTACTTAGCACAGTGCAGTCGAGATGTGAATGATTACTGTTACTCAGTGAAACAAAGAAATGGTTTGAGATGACAAACCTGCGGGAGCTGTGCTCCACGCTGCTCTTAATCAACGGGGCAAAAGGCCACATGACAGAAATCC